TTGAAAATTATTTGTCATTTCTTTCACCCTTTGAACAAAGTTAATTTCTTTTACTATTCACTTTTTACCCTATGACCCATTGTAACTCTAACCATTGACGCTTCGATAAATAATTCAAAATTCAAAATTCAAAAATAAAAAATAAAAAATATTATTCACCAAAATTTTAACCTGCCTAAAAATTTTATTAACTCACCTAAAATATTTTAACCCACTTAAAAATTTTAACCCGCCTAAAACTTAGAACCCGCCTAAAAATATTTTTAACCCACCTAAAAATTTTAACCCGCCTAAAACTTTGAACCCGCCTAAAAATATTTTTAACCCACCTACAAATATTTTAACCTCCTAAAAATTTTAACCCGCCTAAAATATTAACCCGCCTGAAAAAGTGAAATGGGACCAAAAAAATTATGGACATAAATGTTTAGGACCAATCTCTTCAAATGTTAATGTAGGGGACGAAAATGTTAATTGGGCCAAATATATGGGACCAATATGAGGGTTTACTCAATTTTATTATTTGTACTAAAAAAATTATTGTTTTGAATGTAGCTAACTATTAAGTACACAATGTAAAATCATTGATTTGAATGTTTGGATGTGGATTGACAAAATCGGTTTGAAAAGGAAATAACTTGATACAGTACATTATATCTTTGTTGAAACATTTGGAGATCAACAAATATATTACTTACAAATAAGCAGAAGCTCTGTTTTGAAGCAGAGTATGAAACAATGAGGTTCAAGATACTAGTATAAGAGAGATTTCTTCAAGATCTGGAGCACACGAGGATAGACCAGCTACTCTCACAATCATTGGTAGCAAGGCTAGAGTCTCCTAGAAACAGACAACCAATATTCCAAATATATTAAAGCTCAGGAAGGCTTCCGCTAAATTAGAGTCCCAAAACTATCTTTAAAACCCAAGCGTCTTGCTGCTAAATTGCTAGGAGCTTGGATGGGCATTGTAATATCGGTCAGGGAGCTTAGGGGTCCAGATTTTGCGCCAGAGGGAGTCTGGAGTTGTGTTGCAAGGGCCACAGGCAGATAATTATGAGCTGTCATGAGAGATTAGAAATTGATACATAGTTGGCAGATTTCAAAGATTGTTTACCGGACATACAAAAGTGCCAAATCCCTTCAGCTTTTGAAGAAAGGACACAGATTGAATGGCACCGCAATTTTGCCGGGAATTAAAAGGGTTCCGCAATCGTTCTCTGTTTTAACCTCCACGGTTAAAATCAATAAGTCAGCCGTTGCAGTCTTGCAGAGGAACTCAGTGATGGAGAAACATGAGTACTAATATGATTATGCTAAGACGACTGAAGATGATCGGGTTGAAGCTTAATACATAAATGTCTAAAGACGTTGTTACACTACAAGATCTAGGAATGCATATGCATAGCAAGAAACTGTTGTACACTGTATATGCACTTTGCACCTTAATTATAAGCATTTTAAACTGAAACTTGATTAATTATAACTCTATACATGTCCTTTTTTTCTCACTCCCCCCAAATGCTGGTGATACTATAAAATTTGTTGATCGATGGGTATATGATGATCCAACAACCGAGGAGCGGTTTGAGCCTCTCCAAAAAAAACATTAGAGTTGTTTGAAAAACATCATTTTTTGAATCTCTTTTTTGTGTGTATACTTGCAAAGTATTCACTATTGACAACAATGAGTTATCACTTTTGCTGAATTGTACTCCCTCCTTCCCAATTTAATAGGGTATAAAACTAATTTAACAACTTTTATCTTAATCTTCTTAAATATCCTTATAAAGATATTAGTAATAGTTACGTGGTTGCTTAAATTAAGTGTACATTTAGAATTTATTAGAAAAATACATCTTAAATAGGAAACCAGTCTATTTTGTGGGACACCTTTAAATAGGTTTCTCATGAAATTAGGGCGCAACGAGTAGATACATTGTTCATTGATGGACTGCTTATTTCTTTTTTTGAATACAAGGAAGTAGGTGAAATTAACATTTGAAATCTAAACACTATTCCCTATTCTCTCTATGTCGAAATTATTCTCTAGTCTAGATTTTTTTTATTTTTAATTTAAATTATATTAAAAGTTAAATTCAAACTGGGCAATAATTTGTAAACAAATGGAGTACATTTGTACAATAAGCTACCCACTTGCCATCATTTTTGTAATATGGGATTAATGTTGTCCTTTTGAAAAAAAAAAAAAAAAAAAACCCCATAGGATATGATGAATATTGAATATGTAAGTGCCTATGAATTTCAAAAAGAAACGATAGAAAAAGAAAACCATCAAATATTGTGAAATGTGTAGCCGAAAGTAATGACACCATTTTTGTAGCCCAAGAGTCCAAGACCCATCATAAGGACTAAGTATATAAGGTCCATTGGTGGCCTAAAAGATTAGCACTCATAAAACCAATCAGTAACATATAATTTGGAAGCCCCACCGCCAAACAACATTTCTTAAACCATTTCAGTTCTGCAGCTACTCTTGAGTGAATGAAATATACAGTGTTTTAGACTTCAGGTTTGTTAAAAAGTTTCTGATTTGGAGTTGTAGATTTGAGTTTTGTATACTTTTATCTAAAATATGGTCTTAAACTGTCTTTGATCTGAAGCTCAAATTTGATTGATCTAAAAAGTGACAGCTGCCGCTCTATGGTTATGATGATTTAATTAGAGATGAATCATACCAATGCCTGAATGAACGATCTGAATAATGATTGAAGAGCCAAATGCTATAGTTCGTTGCAATTGCTCGATTTGGATATGGTAACACAACTTAAAAACAATGTGCTATTGAGTTCTCACTTTGTATAACAAATGTAAGAGAATCAACCTCCTTCAGTCTCATTCAACATCTGCCTCTACAAGAATCACCTGGAAATGGCTGGAGCATGGATATTCTTTCATCTGGAACAGGTAAAAAATTGAGGAACTGGCAGAGACATGGTTGTGTAGTAGATCTCTTTTTAAGAAGAGATTATCAGAATTCCAATTCTATATTTGGAACTAAAAAAAAATTAACTTTGACAAAGTTCTGGAGATTCTTGAAAAAATACTATGGAATCAGGATGAGCTTCCTTGAGAAGTGAACAGTTTGCGCAGAAATAACGTCTATTTTGTTAGCAAAACAACAAAATAATGGCTGCATCTTTCAGTTAGAGCATCCACAAATTAGCCAAAAAGTGTTGTGAGGCTTTGTTTGAGCCATAAAACATTTTCGGGTCCTTAGAGATGCATGGTGATACTAAAAAAGGGGCGATACCTATGTTGATGATTCAACAACTGAGTCCAGTTTGTTTGAGCATACTCTCCAAAATATTAGTATTAATTTTAATAAGAAATTAAAATTTCTTACAAAATACATACTACTATTATGATTTACATTTTCATATAATGCTGCTAGTTAATCGGCTCAACCCAACCAACCGCCCGACCCGAATTGTGTTCGGCTTAATTGGGGTGACTAATCGGTTTAATTGGGAGAATTTTGGTTCCACCCGATTAACCGATTAGCTAATACGGTTCAGGGTCAGTTTTCAGAAAATTTATTCGGGGCCACCTGATTAATCCGAATAATTTAATTTTTAATTATTTTCTTTAATAAATATATATATGACCGGTCAAATGTGAAACTCTACTTCCCATTTTTTTTTCATTTTCATTTTTCAGTCATCTTCCTCTTTGTTCTTCCTTCGCGACTTCTTTGCGTCACCGTCGTCGTCGACTGTAACCCAATGTCTCCAGCGTTTCTAACCACAATCCCACCTCCACATTCACCTCCACGACTCCTCCTCTCATTTCCCACCTCCACAACCCAGTTAATCGACCAAATCCACCACCAACCCAACCCAAAACCAAACATAGGGTTCATTGTTTCAGAGTTGAAATTGGGGGGTTTCTTTATTAAATCGATTGATTTGATTCATCTACCTCCACAAATCCTCCTTTCATTTCCCACCTCCACAATCAACTAATCGACCAATCCACCACCAATCCAACCCAAAACCAGATCTAGGGTTTCACTGTTTTTGAGTTCTCAAATTGGGGTTTTTTTCAAAAAAAAAAAAATCAATTCATCCAAGAGTATAGAGAATAAAGATGCTACTGATCTGTGAATTATGATTCAAAGTGACCTCACCCTGCTCACCCTCCACTTCTAGTTTCCCCCAAAACGTCAAGGCTTTAGGTGAAAAATGAAAAACGTTTTTTCCCTTCAATTTTATTTCTTGATATATAAGTTATTAGAGAGTCTTCCTTTAACGGTTAGTCTGTTACTGATTTACTGATAGTTTTGGTTTGTGTTTTGTTTAAATGCAGGAGCAGGAGACTTGAGAATTGAAGTTTTAATATGTTAATGTTTCTGTTTTAAGGTACTTTTTTTATGGGCAAATTCATCAGCCATTTACCATTAGGCTACTGTTTAAGTGTTTATCAAGTTGATGGGGTTATCTTAGGCCACTATGAATCATTATTGATTGTTTTTGTTTTCTTTCATAAATGCATGACTGAGAATTGAAGTTTCAGACTGTTACTATCTTCAAGGTAAGTTTTTTTTGACCATTTATCCATTTTTGGCTGGCTGTTTCCGTGTTTTGGAAATGTTCAGTTGTTGTGTATTTTTCTGTGGTGTAATACTGTAATTGGTGTTCTTGTACTAAATGTGGCAATGATTTGTGGGAGGTTTGACTGTTGTGATTAGTTTTTGTAAATTATAATGGCATCTATGTATCAAATATCATGTGTTGCTGTGTATGCTGTTTTAGTGTATTGGAGTAGCTGCGTATACTATAATTGCTGAAGCTCTTACCTCTGTTTAGGTGTGGTGGGTAGAGATTCAGATGATGATGTGATGCTCATTAGTATTCGTGTTAACTATGATACTAGATTGCTTCATGTTTTTTTACTTGGTGGCAATTATATTGAATGTTTATTACCTTGTTGTGACTGTCAATGCAAATATGAAATCACTGATTCACTTTGTGATTGAAATGTCTGAAATTGAGCACTGCCATATGTATCAGAGATCATGCCTTGATGTTTATGATGTTTTAGTGTTTTGGCCTTTTGAAGAAGTAGTTGTATGCAGGACTGTCAATTGTTAACTGACATGCTTCTCTATTTTTGGCTGGCTGTTTTGAAAGTGAGTACTAAAATGATTTTTTGTCTCCTTTTTTCTGTGTAGATATCAGAACTAGATTCTGATTTTGATGACAATATTGAGGATATTGAGGAGACTAAAGTCGAGAGAGGTTCACTGCCTCCTCCTCTGCTGGATTTGTCCACTGATGAAGGATTGATGATAGATGCAGACGTAGAGATTGAGGATCGGGGAATAGGTGAAGGGCCAGGGCCTGAAGCTCAAGCTGCTATTGTTCCAAAGCCCTTGAAGCAGCAGCGCAAGGTAACTCGTAAGCGCTCTAAGGTATGTCCTCACTTCAGTACTGATAAAGATGCTAAAGGTGTATTATGGGTTGATTGTAAGTATTGTGGTTATACGTTTATGGCTGATAGTAAACATGTGACTAGTAGTCTTAGGGGGCATTTGCTGGTGTGTAAAAAAGTACTTTTCCCTGAACCGTGATCCTGGTCAGAGTAAGTTAGTTGGTGAAACCGGGGAGGGAAAACCTGTGAATGTAGGTACTTAGAGGTATAATGAAGAAGAAATAATTAGGGCAATGATTTACATGATAATAGTTGATGAATGGCCTTTTAGGTTTGTTGAGAAGAAAGGGTTTAGATATTTTCTTAGGAAGTTATAGCCACAGTTTGTTCGTAAGGGTAGGCAAACACTGGCTGATGACTGTTATAAACTTTATTTATCTGAGAGGAAAAAACTGAAAGTTGCGCTGAAAGAAAATGTTAGTAGAATCTGCTTCACAACGTATACTTGGACTTCTTTGTAGAAAATTAATTATATGTGTTTGACTGGGCATTATGTGGATAATAAGTGGACCTTAAAAAAGAAAATTTTAAGTTTTTGCCCTATTACAAGTCACAAGGGTTTAGATATTGGGGCTGCAATTGAAACATGTTTGCTGGATTGGGAAATTGAAAATGAAAATGTGTTTGCAAGAACTGTTGATAATGCTTCTTCTAATGATTCTGCCATGGAGTATTTGCAAGCAATTTGCTCACCGAGAAAAGCGTGTGTTGGGTGTTAAATGGTTGCATGTTCGTTGTATGGCTCGTGTGATTAATCTGGTTGTTAAAGATAGTTTGGCATATATTGGCAAGTCTGTTGATAGGATTAGGGCTGTAGTTAAGTATATAAGGCAGTCTCCTAAAAGAATGGCAAGTTTTAAAAAATGAGCTGAAATTGAGAAGTCTGGTAGCTCTAAGAATCTAGTATTGGATGTTTGTACAAGGTGGAATAGTACATATTTAATGCTAGAAACTACTCAAGCTTATGAAAGAGCTTTTAGTAGGTATGAAACTGGAAATCAGCACTTTAAAGACACTTTGAGGTTTGATCCCGAAGTGCCAAATTCTGGGTATGGATTGCCTACTTTATTAGATTGGGTAGAAGCTAGGAGGGTTGCTGGTTATTTTTAGCATTTTTACGAGATAATCTTAAAGGTATCTCGTACAAAATCTGTCTCTTTGGATGCTTTCTTCACGGATATTCATTGTATTGATGTTTTTTTGAGGAAAATCATTAATGAAAGTGATGATAATGGTCAAAAAATGATGGCTGAAAGGATGAAGCTGAAGTTTGATAAATACTATGGTTCTGTTGCGTCGATGAATCTTGTTGTTTTAATGGCATGTGTTTTTTATCCAAAAAATAAGTTCAAATAAATTGAATTTGCATTTCAACAGGTTTATGGGTTAGTGGATGGAATAAATAATTAGGAATATGTTAAAACCACCATTTATGAGTTGTTTGCGGATTATGTTAGAATCCATGCCCCTAAACCTAGTTCTAGTAACCTTCCAATTCTGATTGCAGTTCTTCTCAAGCAACTTCATCGGGGAAAAGACCTTCCTCGATTGATATCGAGCTTTCAAAGCTGCTTAGAGATAATTTTAGGATGGCGTTGGCGAAGAAGAAAAGTGAAGAAGCTGGTGGTTGCATAAATAGAAATGAAAAATCAGAATTGGATAAGTATTTGAACGAGGATGTATGAACTAGATTGTCCAACTTTTGATCTGTTGAACTGGTGGAAGCTGAACAACCATAGGTTTCTTATCCTTTCTCTGATGATTCGTGATCTTTTTGCCATTCCTGTCTTAATTGTGGCTTCGGAATCATGTTTTAGCACAAGGGACAGGGTGTTGGATGCATTTAGGAGTTCTTTAACTCCGAATACTGTTCAGTGTTTGATTTGCACTCAGGATTGGCTTCGGGGGGAAGTTGAAGAAAAAGGTATTGAAGAGAGTTTGGAAGATCTCCTTCGCATGGAAGAAGGTTACATTTGTTTTAAATTTTAAATATATCAATGACTTTAATTCATCTGTTTATTTTCAGTTGAGTGAGTGTTGACTGATTGTTTTTTTTTTCTCAGCTGCTGAAAAGGGAAAGAAAATTGGGTGTGATAGGTACGTTCTACAATCTAGAGTTTACTTCGGTTTCCTTTTTCCATGTTCTTCAATTTTGTTGTTTAATTCTTTTGACTAACTATTTCTTTTTTTTTTTTTTTTGCCTGAAAGTTGCTGTTTGCTGTTGTTGTTGCTTGTAGCATGTTGCACGTTACCTGTTGCTGCTGCCTGCTTGAAGTTGAACTGATCAACTGAACTGTTGAAGAATGAAGATTGAATGTACACCCAGCTACCAAGTGCCAACTGTTGAAGTTGGTGTTGATGTTGAAAGAGTTACTGCTGAGTGTTAGAGAATCAATAGTGAAGAGTGAAGTTACTGCAATTCTTTTTCTCTCTTGATGTTGCTGTGGCTGTGATGCTTTCTATTCAGAATGTTTTTATTCAGGATTCAAATTTGATTAGTGATTACAAGAATTTGTGTTGTGTAATACTGTAATGACCATTTCCATTTGTGATCATTTGTGTGTTGTGTGAGTTGAACTGTTGAAGACTTGAAGTTGATCATTCATTCATTTGTGTTCAAACTTGAAAACATTGAGTTATGACTTGTGTTCATTTGTGAGTTATTTCCATTCCATTGAGTTGAAATTGAAATTTGAAACTTAGAATTTTTTTTCAGTCATTCAGTATTAAGTCTGTCACAAAAATTTGAAATTCTGTTATTCTGTTTAAGTGGCCCCCGAACTGAAAACCCGATTGCTTATTCGGCTCGGTTTGGTTCGGGAGAATATAATCTTCGGTTCGGTTTCAGGCGGATGAATTGAAATGAAAAAAACCGATTAAATTGAGCCAAACTAAGCCGAATCGAGCCGAACCGCCAAATTAGCAACCCTATTTTCATATGTTGCAGGCATGGTTTCAGTTCTGCTAATGAACCAGCAATTGCTAAATTCCAATGACTTACTTTGCCACCAATTCCATCAAACAATCAACTTTCACATTTTTCACCTCCGAATGAATATGCATGGCACACTTATATTTCTTAATCTTTAATGAAAAAAATAGATTAAAAAACCTGTCAGTTCTTTTGGACTCAGTCCAAGTACATTAGTTATATAGCAGAATGAATCAGCGACCCAGGCCCATTTAGATTGAAGACAAGTATTCTTAGCCCATAAGTGTCTTACTTGTCCCTTTGCCCAAGCAGCCAAGCCCAACACTTTTATTTTTTATTTGAAAATGAGCCCAACACTTCATACGTCAATGTAAGAGCACTCATACAACTTATTTGAGAGTTTACCCTTGGACAAATAAGTTCAATGCAAAAACAGAGCATCTTTCGGCGGTGGCAACATGGATTAGAATCCCAGAATTACCTATCCATTATTTCCACGAAGCTCTCCTCCGGAATGTGGTCAAATCAATTGGCTCTTTTCTCAAAGCGGATGAATGCACCTTAACGGCCGCAAGAGGAAAATATGCTGGAATTGCAGTTTTGTTGGATCTGACAGAGCGATTAAAAGGGATGGTAGATGTTGACGGAGTATTCTATAAGGTGGAGTATGAGGCTTTACCGTTAATATGTTTCTCTTGTGGTATTTACGGCCACAATTCTGAAACGTGCCCGACATTTCCGGTGGCTAAAGCGGCGGTGACGACGCAGGAGAAACCGACTGGAACTAAAGGTACAGGACAATTTGTTGCACAGTGTACATAGACGGTCCAAGCGGGTAGTTCGTCTGCAACAAGCATGATTGAACCCCAACGACCGTTCGTAGTTGGGGACTGGATGCAAGCACCCAAGCGGGTCTGGAGGGGACCACCGGAATTCACTTCAACGGCTTCTGATAAAAAGAAATTGCCCGTTGGAGTTAGAAGTAACACGTCGGTGAGCAACTCATTTGAGGCGTTAAACCGTTTGAACCAGGAGCCTACAGAATATATGAGGTCATCTGGGCTGAAAAATTTTGAAATTGGAAAAGAAGATCCCAGTGCATCTAATTTCAAATGGGCTGCGGCAGGTAGTAAAAGAAAAAATGAGAATAGGGACAAACCCACATGGGTTTCCAAGAAAGATCCTGTTAAAGAGAAGGCCCAGCCAGCAAGTAAGGCAAAAAGGCCCGAATCAGATCATAAGGCCCAAGTGGAGGAAAATAACGTTATGGTGGCTGTGCAAGATTCAACACCGCCCACAAGTAGTAACCCTCCAATTCTAAATCCTGAGAACCACACCGTCGTTTATATCCCTCATCCAGGATTAAATCGTCCATCGAACAAGGTGCGCCTCCCCTCCACCGACCGAAAACCCCCGAACAAATCTAATTCTTTCTACCTTAAATCCAAGTTTAAGGTCAAGAGAGGCAAAGGAAAAAAATAAAGATGATTTACTGAGGACACTAGAAGACCTTGAAGCCTTTGACAATTATCAAACTATGGAGGAAGACCCTTTCGATATCGAGGAGGGCCGCCTCTCCGAACTGGAGCACCAGGAAGAAACTCCTATTGCCATCAGGTAATCCCAAGCAAATTAATATTAGATAGAGACTCTTGTAATGGGATTTTGATGTGATTGAGGCTAGCCGATTGAAGGGGATTTAAGGGCTGATGCTACTGATTTAAGGTGATTTTGAAGTAATTAAGGAGGCGAGCATTTTGTCTCAAAATTTAGAAGGCCGCTAACTCCACTGAGATGATTCCGGGATTTTAGATTAACTTTGTCGGTGAAGACCCTCAAATCCGGCGGGGATTTCAATGTGAAGTATTTGGGTTTCTTTTGGAGTATTTAGGCTATTTGGTATCTGCTAGATTAGTTCGGTGTTATTACGATGTAACCTAAGCATTTTTGTTTTATGCCTCTTCAGTATGTAAAAAAAAAAAAAAAAAAAAGAATTCCATTTGGCAGCCACAGCCTCACAATATCTTCTCGACATTTTTCACTCTTTCAGCTGCAGTGAAAGCAAACGTCGGTGTTCCAAACTCCTAGTATTGTCGATTGTTCTAAGTTATAGATATGAGTTTTGCAGGCTTCATAACGGTCTTGATCTGAGTCTTTGAATTATAGAGGAGATGATCCCAGGAGTTTTCGGAATGGGGCTTAATTTTTCATACTAGCCAGTTTGAGCTCATCCAGCTTGAAGATCTGTTAGCTTCTCCGATCACTAGCTGCTTCAGCTTTGTCACTGTTGATGGATAATGATAGCCCTGTTTATTGCCGATTCATTTTTCGCCGCCCTCAGGACATGAATCTTACAAATTCGGGTTGCTTGGAAGGATTTCAAAGCAGGAGTCATTGTATTGACTTTGAGAATTTGTTAGTTATAGTAAAATGGCTTTGGTAGCTGAAGGAGATCTTGGTGCAGAGGCACATGATATTGTCGATTGGTTTAAGAGGAAGGAGCCATTTCATTGCATTTGCTTATTTGGATTTGGTAATACAACTTACAATCACTGAAGAATCTCAATATGAACAATGCATTAGCTCCATCATTGTTGTCCATTTATCCAAAACACGCATGTACATAGACCAGTCGAATAGATCACCCTTCCTTCTGGATTACTAATTGGAGCAATGTTCCAAATATGTGGCAATTGTTCAAAAATGAAAATGCAATGAGTTTATTGATTCTTTATAGAGTAGTCTTGACAATGATTTGTTAATTGTAATATAGGTTGTATGTTACATGTTTCTTGTGCTAGTTCCAAATTAATATGTACTCCCTTTTGGTTTTTCTTTGGTTTTCTTATCATGATCGATGGTGGTGCCGAAATCAAAGCTAACTCGGTCGAAGAACAATCTGCCTAGATCACTGAACATCTCGCCCTTCTTTTCAATTCAGCAACAGCACACTCACTAGGGCATTAACATTTGACCAAAATATTTTGTCTAGTGAAAGATTCTTCCGCACCAGAGTGCACTGTCATGTGTTCACCTCAATCTGTTAGAAAAAGCAAATGAACAATGAAAATGTGAAACGATTTGCTTCTTCAGAAGTGATGTACCTTTTGTGGCTAGCGGAGAAGATATTAGCCATCAAGACTTACAATAAAACCAGAATCGTATCTTCAGTTAGAATATGCAAAAGAAAGAGCGATGCATTGCGAGATAATACTGTCAAATTAATCAGACATTTGCCCTGAAAGGGGAAGCCTCGAACCATTTTCCTAAACTAATTTTAATTAATTGCCAAAGTTTACAAAGCTGATGCCCTGTCTATTTTGGAGTCTCTCTCTGGAAGATCAAGAAATTCCTAAATTGAGGTCGACACGATTATGGATTGCCGACTGATTTGTACTGAAGAATGCAAATAAGAGCCGAGAGGATATGGCCGTTAGAGGGTCACACAATTTCTCCCATCAATACGAGATAAATTATGGTTATCTGAATCTGATCAGTAAGCTGAATTTGCGTGATTTGGAGTCTCGTTTCCCTTTGAAGCAGAACAGGCAGGATGTCATTGGAGGAGTTCTGTTTAATTATTCTTATCTACTGATGCGAAGTTACCCAATCACGAGGATCTTGTTGGAAATTTTGTACAAGGAAGAGCTAACTTATTTTAACATTTTCGACTCTTGAAGTGATTGAGGTGCACTGTTGTCCTGTTTCTGTCATAAGTTTAGTGCAACAGATCCATTGAGGAATAACAGAAAAAGCATGGGAAATGAGGATCTGAACTCTGGAGGTCCTTATAGAAGAAATTGAAAGAAATCTATGCCTTTTCTGCTAATGCTTTTTGACAGTTTTAAATCTTCTTCCAATGAAAATCTACCTCTTATTTGTTTACTTTATTCCATATTCATTGTGTGATTTATTTTGGTAGCATTAAAAAAACCGCATCCTACGGTGGCAGATTACCACGGTTCGTCTTCTCACTTCTACTTTTACTTTTTCTACGAGAGGCTCCTCTGTTTTTTTTTTTTTTTTTTTTTTTTCCTATTTAAAAGCCGCAACAGTAAAATAAATAAATTGTAGGAATAATTGCATCAAATGTAATTGCGTTAAAGAGCATCAAATGTAAAAAATGACTAAAAAAATTTATATATAATGCATTGTGAAAAAAATTAAGAAAACAAATAAATACGATTTGTAACCAACGACCCATCATAAGTAAAGACCAAGCAGTCAATCTGCCCTATCAACAAACTTATATAAACACAGTTTAGGCAGCCAGTGGCGAACAAGCTTTCATTTCTTCAACAATTTCACTCCTCTTCTTCAGCTGCTTTTCAGTGAAAATATACAGTTTTCCAAATTAACTTCTTGGCATTGTTCTGTGTGATAGGGTCCTTCAACGGTAACTTGATCTGAGGCTTCATAAAATTACGTTACCAAATTTGGCGGATCTCCAAGAAGTAACTTGTATGGTTTTGCTGGATTTACAGCCATCTCCAAAATAAACGAATCTTATCAAAGCTTTTTAAAAGCACGAGTCATTTGCATTAAGCATCATACTTTTCTTAGCCTTGGTGCAGTGAAATGGCAATGGTGGCTAAAGGAGATATGGATGATGAGACAAGAGATACAGAGTTTGATTGGATTAAAAGAAAGATGCCATTGCTACTGCTCAGATCTGGATTTGGTAATACAACTTACACACAAGGTGCATTGTGATTCTCAAACTCGGTGAAGCTGCTACTGTTCCTGTACATGTTTCTACTGTTCTCAAATGGAGTAGCACTTAGCGAAAACGGTGATTTTCTGACAATAACAGAAACAACAAATGCTCTAGTGATAATTCATCGTTTCCAAATTATCTTTGGAACTTGGCTCGGAGGAATTGAGGCAATTTGCAAAGAGAGAGAGTCGTCTAGTTGATCTCATCTACAAACAGAGATGATTAGGTAGCATTTTGTACTCTGATACTCTATCTTGGCATAGTTGTGGAGAAGTTTGACTGTACATTTCACAATAGCATATTAATCTTCAATTCATGTTTCACTTTTCATCTTGTCCAAAATCTCAGTTGTTCTTTCGTCTAACACAGCCAAAAAGATCACTCTAACACAGCCAAAAATTAACAATCACCTAGTAAACAGAAATGTTCCCTTTTAAATGAAAATCAGAATTCAAAATTCATTACAATGCACCAGGGAAAGAACGGATAGTTCAATATGCTCGACGTGACTATTAAATCATACGAATCGCATTGTGAATTAACCCTTCGTCGAAAGATGACATGAAAATGCTTAAATCATGTTTTTGGAGGCAACAAATCGCATTTCAAGATATTTTCATTGATTGGCAAGGAGGTTCATATTTACAACCAAATTACTCTACTTCTATTACAAAACTTTCTAAATGCCCGACTCACATTATTTACACTAGATGAGGAAAATAAAACTCCAAAATGTTTTCTTCACTAACAGTTTTCCTTCTGCTCAAACATTGTTCCAACCTCCAGTACACATCCCTTTTGATAGATTCTAGTAGCACTGCAACAGACCTAACTTTACCATTGAATATTCTACCATTGCGTTCTTCCCAAACCAAATAAACCACAACAACCATAGCTGCAAAAAGGATCCTCCGTTTCAGTTTAGACTTCTTCCAAACAGTCAAAATACGTCTCCTCCACTGAAACTGATCAACAGACAGACTCTGAATACCTAACCACTTCACTACCTCAGTAAACAGTTCACCTGAGAAACTACACCCAAAAAACAGGTGAGGTGAAGTTTCCAAGTGATTCTGACACAGACATCAATCCTGCGAACCTCTCAATATATTCGTCCGCGCCAATCTATCCTTGGTTAAGAGTCTATTCTTCCAAAACAACCACACAATAAAGGAATGTTTGGGAAGATTATACCTTGACCAGATGAAATTCGCAGCTGGCAGCTCTTCATTCTCCCCCATCAACCAGTTATAGCCTGAGCTAGTAGTGTACTTACCTGTCACAGTATGGTTCCATTTACCCCCCCACAAACTCCCCTTTTACCTGCTCTTTCAACTGTAGAGTTCTTCTCCAATGCCAGCTTGAGCTTTGCTTCGGAAGAAGTTGCCGGAAATCATTATTCTTTATGTAGTGCTCATGGATCCATTTGATCCATAGACTATTCTGCTTCTCAGCAATATCCAGACTTGCTTGATCAAAGCTGCTTGGTTCCATACTTCATCATCTTTGATATTTAAATCACCAAAACTATCTTTCTACGAACCTGGTCCCAACTGACCAGGTTCTACACATACGATTAATCTGTTGAGTAACAGAGTGAGGTAAGATAAAGACAGAACCCCAATAATTGCACATAGCCAATAAAACTGAATTAACAAGTTGCAATCTTCCTGCATATCTGAGTAACTTGGAATTCCAACATCTGATTTTGGATGCAATTTTCTGGACCAGCAATTGACATTCAAGCTGATTCCATTTCCTTGGGGAGATAGGGACCCCCAAATACTTCATTGGGAAACAGCCTTCCTTGAAACCAGTGAGCAAGCATATCTGGTTCCTCAGCTCACCTGCAACGCCACCAAAATAAACTTCTGATTTAACACGGTTAGCAACTAAACCTGTCACAGCTGAAAACTTTTTAAGAACATCAACTATCTTCATTACAGTATAAGTATCAGCTTTGCAGAAAATCATAAGATCATCTGCAAAGCATATATTTGTCAACTTCATTTCTCGGCATTGAGGATGAAACTGGAACCTTCCATCTTCAGAAGCTTCTTTTAAAGGCCTTGTGAGATATTCCATAATGAGAACAAAAAGCAGCGGGGACATGGGGTCCCCCTGCCTCAAACCCCTCTTCCCCTAAAAGAAGCCGCAATTTTCGCCATTTAAACATATTGAATAGGAAGGAGTCTTCACACATTGCAGAATCAGTTTAGAGAAAGATTCAGGAAAACCATAACCAGCAAGCATTTCCTCCACGAAACTTCATTCCACCGAATCGTAATCTTTTTTAAGATCAATCTTGAATAAGCAACGACCACTGATGCTCTTCCTCCCATACAACTTAATCAGATCCTGCGTAAGTAATACATTGTGCAGAATTAATCTATTACTTACGAAAGCACTCTGATTATTATCCACCAGCTCTGTTAATACAGTTTTCAGTCTAGCACATAGAATCTTTGATAAGACCTTATAGACCACATTGCAACACACAATGGGTCTATATTCAGATGCATTACATGGAGACTCAGTTTTTGGTATAAGAGCCAAGACTGTTGCGTTGACTTGTTACCGGTTTCAAACAACTCTAGCACTACCTTGGCAAAATCTTCCTTAACCACTGACCAGGCCGCTTTGAAAAATCTACTACCGAAAACATCCGGTCCCGGGCTCTTTCCACTGTGAATGCCCCATAAAGCTTCTTTCACTTCTTGAGGGGTCACATCTCTGATTAAACCAAGCTGTTGTTTTCAGTTCAATACTGGCCCTTTACTATAGATCTCCCTCTGAGAAGCCTCTCTACTAGTACTCTTGCCCAACTGATTCTGAAAGAAATCCGTAAAATGTTGATCGACAATCTGCCAATCAGAGATGATCTCACCTCCTTCATCAACTATTGAACTTATCATGTTCTACATATTTCGGATCTTCACCCAATTTTTCTTTGCCTTCTGGAATAAGAAACTCTCTTCTGCTTTTCTTGCTTCTATATACCTTCTACTCAATTCCCTTTCCTCCTGATGAAGTGCTGCATCATCTAAATTAGTATTAAGTAAAACTTGAACTTTTTGCAATTTCATCAACGCCTCTTGTGCCTGCTGCTGTATGTCTGAGAAATTCTCTCTATTCAGGCGTTTCAAATCTGGTTTAAGCCGCTTTAATTTCTGAACCAACTGATACATAAAAGTACCCGAGACTGGTGTTGCCCATGATGTTGATACCACCTTCAAAAACTCCTTGGACTGGCTCCACATATTGAAAAATTTAAACGATTTAGGTCTCTACACTCTCACATCATCAAGCGGCACCAAGATGGGACAACGATCCGACAGGCCTTCCGGGTTCCAGAACTTCAATTCAAGCCCAGGAAAATGGACCCCTACTGGAACATGTTTGATTTCTTTGTAATTCATCCCTTTTTCTACTCTCCAAGGCTTAATAATTACAGGGTTAGCACCAAGATAGTTGATAGGATCCGTTAAAACTTCCTCCACAGCCTCCATAGTTTTAAATCGAATGACAAAGAGACCATTAGGCAGCATAATCACCTTGTCAACATCCAGGTGCTTCTAGAGACGTCGATAGAAGCTATCCATAACTCTGAAAGGGGGGTTGGCTCCAAGGACGAAACTGATTACAGAGGATTGCCAATAGTCCATCTCCAACTTGATGTGGGTTTCCTCGACTGCAGCCACCAGTTTACCCTCTTGATCCATAGGCTCCACATAGTCCAAAGGGACACCCCCTTTGCGAAGCTTCTTCACATCGAAGGGTCCGTGAGTTTAGTATACCCAAATTTTAGTTAGTAGAAAAAAGTGTTCTTAGGGTTGGAGGGGTAGAAATTTATGAGTTTCTCGCATTCGGGATATGCGAAGAAACTGATGTTCGCATTTACCATATGCGAACATCCTTACGTAATTAATTAGTTAAACTTAAACAAATAATAAAGACAAATGAGATAATTCGAAGTGGGCCATCACCCAGAGTTCGCATATGCCGAATGCGAAAATAATAACTCGAATAAATTAAAGCGGAAAGAGAAAGGAAAGAGGAAAGTGTGGGCCATCACCTGAGTTCGCATATGCCGAATGCGAAAATAATAACTGAATAAATTAAAGCGGAAAGAGAAAGGAAAGAGGAAAGTGTGGGCCATCATAAGACTTTCGCATTCAACGAATGCGAACGTAAAAATATAGGTAAAAAAAACGAAATTATCTTTTTATCCTATTAAAATCGACTCAGTCAATAGCGTATCGACACGTGGCGATTCTTGACAATTTGGATAAATGTTCGCATTTGGCGAATGCGAATGTGATGGCTAGACTCATAATTTAAAACTCATCACCCCCAATTCGGCAGAACTAAAATCATCAATTCTTCTTGCATTCAGTTGAAATTTTCATTCCGGTGGAAGAGGCGGAGCTGGAAAGAGGCATTTTCATATTGAAGGTTGGAAGGTTGGACCGCACGGAGCAAGACAGAGGCAACCCATTTAGGTAAGTTTTTTTTCTCTATGAAATTTGTAAAATTTATACATTCTATTGTCATTTGGGGCTATTAATCTTGTTGTAGTGTACGAAATTACTAAATTTAATAATTTCGGTAGTTATTGAGAATTGGTTTTAGAAAATTTGCTTCAATAAATATATATTTGATGTAGAATGAAGAATAAAAATTATTTTATAATGTGAAATGTTGAATTTTGTTGAATATTATGAGTTATTTTATTAATTTAGAGAATAACCCGGTTGATCTCGAATTTTGGTCTTTATACCTCAATTTTGTGAATTTTATATTCTGACCCAATTATTTGTAATGTTATTGATTTGACCCTGTTTTATTTGTTTTTATTTTGTTAATTTTGTATTTTATCAAATATATTGTGTAAATCTAAATTTATTAGTTTGATCAAAAATTGTTATTCTTTTAATTGAAAACCTTGTTATATAGATGTCGAATTATATTTTTTGAATTATTAAATTATGTTAGAGATTTTTCACTAAAAATAGGACTTATTGTTAGTTTTTGGAGTAAATTACTGCTAGTGAGGTAGAATATTGTTATAACAAGCATGAATTGATGTATTTGTATGTTTAATTGAATAAAAATTAAATGTGCAGGCCCTTAATATGTCTTTTCCGGGTCCCTTCGATCTGAATATATTCTGGTCTAGTGATCGATCATGTTGGGGATATGGGGAGAAGTTATTTACGCCCGATGCAACAGTTTGTATCGATCGAGTGTGGAGTTTCTCTGAACTTGATAATTATGTACACAGGCTGTTAGAATCTGAGAACCAACAAATACTTCCTCTACAATATGTTTTAGTCTGCACAGATGAGTACGGCAGAAGGGGGCAAGCGCCCATAAGAGACGACGAGTCAATGTCATGGATTTACCGAGGTGCCCATTTGCGTCCAGCATTGTACGTAGAGGTTGCAGATGAACCTGTTCAAGATGTTGGGGAAGGAACTACTGGTGGTCAGTATGATGGTGCAGGGAGTAGTGGTGTTGGTGGTACCAATGAAGATGACGATGACACAGAAGATGACGTACATGGGAACAGTGACGAGGAGTATGTGCCGTCCGATGAGTCTGATGATGATTACAGTGACCATGACGCATCTTCAGTAGTAATTTCTATTTTTGATGACATCAGTGACATGGACAAGTCTGAACTGGTTGAGGATTCTGATGGGATCACAATGTGGGACGGTAATTGGCAGACGGTTAGACATGGTGTACATTTTGCTAACAAGAAAGAGGTACAAACAGCCGTGGGGGAATGGACATTGCGACAGGGTCGGGCATGTCGGGTAAAATATAGCCGTCCCTATACGTGGGCCGCTGAATGCGAGACGAAAGGGCCGAAGTACCCAGAAGAACTTCTCCACGGCACTACTTGCTTGTGGAAATGTCGAGCTACCCTGCAAAAAGACACAAATACTTGGAGAATGGTGGTATGGGTCGAGAGCCACAACTGTCTTGGTGCAACCACAAGAAACGAAGGTCGTAACTTGACGTCCACAATGATTGCTCGATTGATCACAGCCAATGTCCGAAAAGATCCAGGTTATTCAGTCGCACAGATCCAAGTCGAAGTAAATAAGAGATACAGGGTCACCCCCAATTACAAAAAGGCATGGCATGGTCGAAGAAAAGCACTTGAGAGTCTGTATGGCACATGGGAAAACAACTTTCAACAACTGCCCAGTTTTCGGGAAGCATTGCTCAAAGCGAACCCAGATACCCGTATGCGCTTTAAGTTCACTAAAGATACCAAGAATCGGAAGAAGAAGGTGTGCAGTACATTTTTGGGCATTTGGGGCAGCTATACATTTATTTAGAGCTGCTTGGCCGGTCATAACCGTCGACGCCACCCACCTCCGAGGTTCATACAAAGCAACATTGATCGTGGCATGTGTGAAGTGCTCGAATAACACAATTGTTCCCATCGCGTTTGCTCGTGGATAAAGAGACATTGCACACTGGAAATGGTTCCTTAAATACCTGAAAACATTTGTTCTACTTGACAAGGAGACATGCATTATCTCCGATCGCCATACGGTATTCTTGCTGCTATGGATGTTATGCTTGATAAATTTCCGGGATGGGAGTGCACCGTTATTGTCTGCAGACATCAAAGCAAATTTAGTGGCAATTTTCCTGGCGAAACTCAAAAGACCTTGTCAAAGGGCTTGTTCAATGTTGCAAAAGGGAAGTTTGAAAAAGAATGGATGAATTTAGAAAGTAAAAATAGAGATGCAGCCATATATCTTCAGCAAATCGGTCTTGAGAAGTGTACCCGTTATTGGGACGGGGGATATCGTTGGGGAGAAATGACTTCGAACATATCCGAGAGTTTTAATAATGTCTTAAAAGGTTGCCGGATGCTCCCTATCACTGCTTTGATTCTTGCCACATTGTATAAGACTAACAAGTTGTTTCAGGAAAACATAGATGAAATTGACAAATGCCATTCATCCCTCGCGACGAATCCCATGAAACGGTATGAGGATTACCGTATACATTAGATGGGTCACGAGGTTACCAGATTTAGCAAGAGGAATCAGAAGTACCAAGTGGTCACGTACTCACCACCTGATCGGCCATGGAAGGGTGGAAATATCCATGAGGTAAACTACGCCGCCAGGATGTGCACATGTAACAAGTGGCAGACATACAGGTTTCCTTGCTCCCATTGCGCTTGCTGTTGCCAGGTATCTACGTCATGATCCATTACCGCTTTTTGATTCATTTTATAGTAGGGAACAATGTACTTTTATTTTATGCTATTTTATGACTTTTGTTATTAGTTTTAAGCAATACCTTTCATTTATTTTCATTAACAATTTATTTCGGTTTTATTTAATCTTTAAGATTAAAAAAAAACTTTAAAAGGCAAACATTAAAGAAGAAAATTTCTCAAAAAGACAATATTATGTACAATTTTTTTAACTTACTTTTATACAATACTATTTTTTTCGTCGTGCCAAATTCAAGTTTCCATGTCGCCAAAAGATCATTGTTAGAAGGAAGTGTGGTTTTATCAAGTTTAGCAGGACTGATTATGTCAGATTCTAAAAAATTTAGTTTTTTTCCTTACTTTAAATGAATTGATTCTAAGTTTTATTATGTAAAAAATATTATTATCCTAAAATTAATAAACTTGATTTTTTGACATTATATTTTTAATGATGGTAAGTTTTTAAATTGAAATCAAATAAAAGTCATTTTTTTTAAAAGCAAACTTGGTTACAGAACGCAAGAGTATATTCTAATTTTTCACCAAAATTTTAATTTACTTCTTATTCAAATTTTATTATAAATGCATTATACGATTTCTGTTCACCAAATATAATTTTTAGGATTGCAATTCTATTTAGAACTAACATAAATTTACTTAAATCAAATGAATACTTTTAATTTAGAAAATTTAATTTTCAATTAAAATAGTATTTTTTTGTTGAAATATTACAACATTTTATCAACCAAAATATTTAATTTACAACATTTCATTTTAATACCAATTTAAAGTTAGGAAACAATTTTTAAATGCAGATTTAATACGTTCGCATATGCCATATGCGAAAAGTTAGATTTCGCATACCCCAAATGCGAAGGATTAAATTAATTATAATTATCCAGTTTTAATCCAACGTCTTTAATGCATTGTAATTAATCCACTACATTTTCGCATTTGCTGAACGCGGAAGTTGATTTTTTCGCATTTGCCAAATGCGATAAACATATTTCTTTCTACCTCCGAAAACCTAGCCATAGTCCTGCTTACACTACTAATTTGGGAGTATATTTGTGTCATTTTTCGTCACATCGAATTTATTCCAAATTGAAACCCTAGCTTCTTCAAAATATTACTATCAAACAGTTTGAACTTTGAATTATAAATCTTATTTACTTTCTCCTTCCCAAAACTCTTTGATAGTCATAGGAACAAATTGCACTTCAAGATGCATTTCAATTTCAGAAAATTGGGCCGAAGCACGTAACTCATATCATTGATCGGGCAAGCTACTGTTACACGCATCATAAACATAACTCAACTCCGCCGTTCTCTCTTCTTTGAAAGATGCTTAATTATTTACAGATATGTCTATGTTTTCTAGCTGTGCCTGGAATTTTTCATTCGTTTTTTGCAAAGTATTAATAGTTGAGGTTATTGATTTTAAATTTGAGTGTAACGTTGTCTATAATGTAGCTGTATTAATGTTACACATAACAACATAACACAATAAGAACGTGTTACATTCTTTTTGTCCTTAAAAAATCGTCCAGATTAAATTTTAAGATTTGTACTAAAAAGTACAAAACTCAAAATATAGTTCACCTTTTGTTTTCCATCGAAACTTCAAGTGTTAGAATTAGGATAAATAAGATTGGTTTAAAGATACGATGGACATTCTTCCTATGACCATCAATCAAGACTCTTGGCATGACAAAAGAATTATAATAAAAAAGAAAAATCTCTCTAAAGTTATGAAACTTTTTTTGTAGTCTACAAAGGAATGCGTTTTGGATGCTTTCTGCAATATCAAAAGCTCTTTGGAACATGCAAGAATTGAGGCACACATATACGGTTTGACACGGAAGGAATGCTTATCTATTTGACTAGTTCCTCATGGGCGGTGATTGATGCCTATTATGATTCAACCACTGAGGTCTGAGGGAGCTGTTTGTGCTCCGGAGAAATTTTAGAATTCCTGCAAAATAGTACTTACTTACTTTTCATGTGTTTTAATTTCTGTTTGGCACTAGGACGTAAGTGGTATGCTTAAAAAATAACTTCTACATTTTTTAGGTGAGTTGTTCCATTCATATTATCGCACAATGATGGTCTCAACTCTTAACTTCCTCGGTGCAGTAAATGTTCAAACAAACTCTAACACTACTTTGAAACAATTTTCGTCCAGCAATGAATTTTATCGACGTTCGAATGAGATTATGAGCGCAACAGTTATCCTTCTAAATTCTTGATGAATAAACTCACGGCCGTTGGACATCTTTTACAAGTTTTTTTTGTGCGTATGTATTATCTACATCCACTTTTAACCAACTTTCCTTCATCCCAACTCCTAATTGTGAGATTTAGACTCTAAATAGCCCCACATCTCAAATTCAAAAGTGTTTATTATCACAGAACAAAACCCAATATTCGTTAAAGAAAAAACTTACTAGATTACTTTACTATTTTGGGCTTCCATGAATATATAATTGGGTTACATGTAAAAATAAAATAAATAAACAAAATAGTATTGTAATATGCCTGAAAAACAATGGCAAAAAACAAAACACGGTAGTCTTGGGAAGATGCCATTATTGTTTTTTGTTTTGAGAAGATAAGTTTAAATTCCAATTTCTTCCAAAATAAAATATAATCATCAATCAACAACCTAAATTTTCCTACTCTTCAGCTGCATTTGTGTGAAAACCCACAGTGATCGATCCATACTGTTTAGCAGAGTGTTCTTTGACTTCTGAGCTGGAGATATGAGTATTGTAACTTGTAAGTGTTGATCTAAAAATGGCCTTAACTCTTAAGGTCATGATCTGAAGCTTGAGATTCAAGAGGAGAATCAGAGATGCGTTACCGAATTACAAAATTACTTCATTTTTTTAGAGGATTTTGGAAGCCATATGAAAAATTGTAGATTGGGGACGTGTTAGCTATCATGTCACTGTTTTTTCAACTTCTCCAAAGTCCAGTCAATGTGGACGGTCAAATTCGTTAAAATGAGCCAACAATATATATCAATCTAAATTGAAGAATCCATATGTCCTTATTTTGTGGCTACTAGATCAAGATACAAGCTACAGAGATATATGATCAGTGTCCCGACAATCTTTTCCACAACTCCATGAATAAATGTATCCAACTTATAAAGCTGAAGTACTAGAGAAATCATATTGTGATGGAGGGAGTATATTTTGAAGTAAATTATCTCAATCATGTCATAGTGCAAGTATTCAACTCCGCTAGTACGTAATACTAAAGAAAGTTATAACATTTTATTTTTTTTTTGGTGAAAGTTATAACACTTGCTTTGCTACTATCTAATTTCGACAATCAAATTGTTCAACTCACTCGATAAATATGACACACTTACTCATCCCAAAATCTTCATTAAGCAGTTCTTGCACCCTTTTCTTCCTCCTATCTCTAATTTGCGAATTGAAGCATTAAACATACACATCACTGAAACACTCATTACTCATGATAGAAAACTGTCTAAGAAATTTTATGGTCCAGTCATGAGTTTTTAACTGAACCATCCAGTTAAACTTTAGCCAATAAAAGTGAGACACACCATATATGTAATTATGGAGTGTACAACACCATAACAAGCCATATTAGTTGTTGACTAAATAATTACTTAAATTTCTAAAGTTCTTTAAATAAAATTTCTAAGATAAAACCTGGGGGAAAAAAAAATAGCTCTTAATCAAATGCATCGTCATCCTTATTAGAAAGTAGTCATGGCAGCTGCAACAATCTCAAGTTCATATTGTATAATTTCACAATGATTCGTATTTCTTCTGAAATTTAATGGTGATATGTCTATTCATAAAAGTAGTTTTACTGCTTCCAATTTTTCTCCGCACATTTTCACAATTCTCATTTCTTTCGCCACCCATTTTCACATAAAAATATACGAAATTATCGCAGAGTAATCCAACAATTAGTCGCCAATGGCTTAAAAAAGACTTTGATTAGCAAGTAAATTAACAAAAGTTTTAGTAAATATTCTGGAAGGTTTAAATCCACAACATATCATAACTGAATTATATCATGAAATTGGCGAAACACAACTATTGTTTCCCGGCAATG